TACCATCGAAACATGGCCCGAAATGACTTTATGTTGTGAATTATGGGTAATAATCCGGACGGCCAAAGACACACAATCATTTTCATCTTCACTTATCAAATCAGCTCCGATCTAAACCGTGGGTTTCGAGTATCTGCAACAGATTTAAAGTCAGGAGGAAAATACACATTCATGAATTCAATTATTCTCCTCATCCAGGGCCGAAAGTCAATTATGGGCAATTTGAGCAAATCCCAGCATCCCATCTCTGTGTTTGGATAACATTTCACATTCTAACACAAAGATCTGACACAGCACAAAACGCAGAACACAAGAGAGAGACTGTCGAGGGTCCAGCAAACATTGCTTTTTGTGTAAAACTGATGCTCACTGAAGTCTAGGGCTGGGTAAAAAATATAGATATCTCGATATTAGTCGATTCTCATTTTTACGGAACGATATCGATTCTTAAATCCCAAGAATCGATTATTCTAGCCTGTTTTCAGTTAATGGACGGAACATTGAAGGGCACTTCCCATCCAATAAATAGCAATAAGCTTTGTGCTTTAATATGAAACAAAGTCTCAGATTTCAAATACTGTCCATTGTATTGCAGTATAAATGCCGTTTTGGCGCTGTTTAATGTACTCCAAAATTTTAATTGAATGTTACTTGCCATTTTTGTGTAATTCAAGTAAAACTTATTAGGCGCTTCTCAAAATACAGTTTCACAACAGAAAATCTCAAGTTGTTATTCTTTGTAATTTAATAATGATTTGTGAAAATTGTTCCAAAGTTCCTTTTTCAGAAATATTTAAAAAAAAATTCACAATGCATGTAAATCTATTTACCGGTTTATACGCCTGCCAAGCAAATAATGAATTACCAGGAAAAATTTAAATACACAAGACAGAATTTCTAAAAATAAAATAAATAAATACATAAATACATAAAATTCAATAATAATTATTATAATTATATTAGGCCTATAATAGATTATAATAATTTAATTAATTATTTTTTATTAATTTATTCATCTTTGGATAAAAGTGTCTGCTAAATGACTAAATGTAAATTAGACTTTTTGATTATTAAAATTTTATTAAACCATTAAAATGGGCTCCGGAAAAATTAAAACAGAAAACACATAATTTGGTTCAAATAAACTGGAATTTGAGAAAAATAAATAAAACTTGTTTCATATGACCTTAACATGCCATTTTTGCTCAGCTTTTAATGAATTGTTGTTAAACTGTATAAGTTTCATGATTTCAATTAATTAGACATGCAGTTTTATTACTGAAATTACATTTAACCATTAAAACCGGGGTCCAGAAAACTGGGGGAAAAAACAGAATCAAGAGAAAAAGAAAAAAAAAAGAATTTTGAAGAAGAAGAAAAAAAAGATTTCATAGTGCCCTATGAGCTGGAGATTTAACCACATCACGCAGTACTGTAGTGTAAACACACAAGAAAAACACGTACTGTTCCTTTAAATCCCAGTTCTTGCTTTAGGCGACCCATCCCCCATTTCTCATAGACCCCCCACAATCTCTCTCTCTCTGTGTGTGTATTTCTCTCTCGCTCGTCCAGCCCCCCACCCATGCAGCACAGCTTGCATCCATATAACAGCCGTATTTCCCTCTGGATGATCCACTCTACAGCGCTGATGGACTACTACTAGCCTATACGGTGGCCATTTCAGTCCAGAGAGGAATTCCAGTCCACCCTCCCCTCGTCCAGCCAGAAACACACACACACACACACACACACACACACACACAGATGTGAGGAAAGCAGACTCACACCCCACCGTTCAAACACACAAAACATATAAGCAGCAAATGGAGCATTGGGGTAATTTGTTTCCACCAATAGAAGGCTGTTTAAGTGCCACACCGCCCTGCTTTTCTTTTTACGGCACCGTCGTCCGCTCCGCCGGGAATCTTGGAATGCTCTACGAGAAGACTATTACACAACACACACACACACCACAGCCAGCACATCAGGCTTTACGAGCCCTCGCAGCATCGCTAAAGCAGTCAATGACAGAAACACATTTCACCTTCAATTCAGATGGAGAATTGAAGAAACTGAGGGACTGTTTGCAGTGTGATGATGTTTTCAGGACAATTAAACTCAAAATTCTCATGATTGTAATGCAAAAAAAAAAATAATAATAATAATTTATCACGGCACATTTTAGCTTGAAATCAGAAGGAAGAATTAAGAAATACTTTGCATAAAGAAAATTAAGGGATATTAGGGTTTTTTTTTTTTGCATTGTGACTATTTTTATGACTATTAAACAATTTTCTTTAAATTCCCATGATTATAATGCAAAAAAAGTATCATGTGCATTACTTTCATCAGGGACACATGCTTGAAACTAGAAGAACGAATTGAGAAATTATATTTTGCATTATTAAAATGAAGGGATATTTGGATTTTTTTTGCACTGACTTTATTTTCATGACCATTAAATAACATTTTCTCAAATTTCTCTTGATGGCAATGCAAACAAAAAAAAAAAGCATAACACGCATTATTGTCACACTTTAGCTTGAAACCAGATAGAAGAATTAAGAAATTCAATTTTGCATCAAGAAAGTTTGTTTTCCATTGTGACATTATTTTCATGATAAAGCTTTCCCAAAATTCTCATGACTTTAACGAAAAAACAAAAGTGTCATTTTCTTCGTTATAATAAATAATAGGATAATGAAAATCCTCCTATCGTCACACAATGCTTTTTTTATTGAATTAAAACAGAATAAAATCTCTAAGGCATATTCAGAACAATAAATACTACAATGACGTATGCTAACTTCACAAATACTTCACAACTTAATATCCAAGTGGTCAAACAATATGGTTTTTTCATTGCCAAAACTATTTCTACACAGCAGGGTTTCTGATGTATACATAGAAATGCAAATTTAATGACAACATGAATTGCTTGAATAATCACAACACAACATCTTAGTGAATTCTGAAACTCTAAAAAATATCTGGTGCTTTTGTATCTCATAAGATAGGCCTAATTATCTTACAGCACATACATACACATATATATATATATATATATATATATCCAACACACTCAACCTTCAGAAAAACACCAACTTTCTTCAGTCACGTCAAGTGAGTCACCAAAGACGAAAAACACCCTTGAAGACCAACTCTATTGGTCACACTGACTTCTGACAGAAACATCATCTGACGTTTTAAATGCACGTCGCCAAAGCTGCTTTCAAACTAAATTTCCAACAACTTCTTGGGTCTTTTCACTGTTGCAAACAAATGCTATGATGCCTAAACCAAAGTCCTTGAGGTTTTGGAGGAAAAACAACCCTGACCAGTTGCTGTCCTTCATCTGAACCTGGTTAACCAAAAGAGGCTTGATGGGAACTCAAAGACTCATTATATTCACAAAACAGAGACTTCACACACGCACACCTCGAAACATAAAGATAGATATCCCTCACTACACACATGGTCTGTTTTGACTCAGAAGAGACACACAAAAATACATTTTAAAAATGCATAATTTTTAAAAAGGGGAGGAAACTTTGCAAATGTTTTAAGACCCTCAAAATAACATTTTAGATGTTTTACCATTTTTTTTAAGCGATGTAACCATTTAGGAAAAATTCTGATCATTTTGGAGCCAAAATACTTGTGAAATGATCTATGAAGTTATAGGCTATTTGTGCCACACACAAAAACACTTTCGTAAAATATATTCAACCTTTTCCCCAAATCTCACACACTTTTGGGACTGAATTTTGTTGAATATGAATATGTATGTCTACTGATGAACCATTGCAGCATGAAAACTTTTTACATTTTTTATCTGAACATGAAAGTTTATGCAAGTAAAATTAATGCATTTTGTTTGAAATTCATGAACCATGAGTGTAATTCAATTCCATTCATTCCGATGGTGTTAATATTGTCAACTTTTATAATATACGTTCTTATAAATATCATACAATAACATTCAAACACAAATTCTTATCAGTATTGAAAAAAATATATATTTTGCATCAGTGTTTTGACGTGATTCATGTGTAATTTAAAATTTCAAAGAATTTATATTTTTATTCATAAAAAAGGGGTAAATGCAATAATTGCATGTTAACATTCATTACTTTAACATTGACTCATGATCAGATACAATATGGTTTAAGTTGAAAAAAATAAAAAATAAGACGATTCTTCGAGTCCAAACAGACCCTGAATGAGAATATAGTTTGCAGATTTTTAATGCATTATGAGGGATATATAAAATCATAATTATCTAACCCAACAAGGCCATCCCCGATGCTAAAACACTGGGAACTCTGTCCTGAAACAGAAACATTGTGTGCATATCTCTGACACTGTGATTAATATTTGCTCGGAGGTTGTTTATTAAAGTGCACAGTGATATTAAATGCTATTTAATCAGAATTCAGCATGATATTGAGCTGTATAGACCCACCCCTCCCCCAAACCCCTCCAACACAACAAAGCCACAGCAAACACAGTTACTGCACGCAGAAGACTTCGTCAACATCTATGCATGCGTGCTGCTTTGAGGAATAAATCCTGCACAAATCACTTTATAAGTGCACACTATATATAGTACAGATGCACAAACCATTTAAACACAGATATAATCATGCATGTCTTTGATATATAAATGCAACTCTGTGGAAATCCTTGGATTGAAGGTTGGCTGTCCTTGTGTTATTGCTGAGAATAGAGAGTAACTTAGTATTTATAGTTATGAATGAACGCGAGCAACTGAGCTTTACTCATTCGCATCTACAACAGAGATATTTCAAATGCATTCATAATTATTCACCAAAACCAGGTGTAATCCAAACAAACATGATTCTTAATGCAAACACAACGCGTTTTAGCAATTCAAAGCCTAGTGCATTATATCACGCGCGTTTATATAGCAGACAAAGAGTCAGAAAAATCACGCAAATCTCACACAAGTCTTGTCTAAAGAATAAAAGAGCGCTTACCTGCACTGAAAGTTCCCAGAAGAAGTGCAAAAGTCAGCCAGGAAGTGAACATATTCCTCTAGTGACACAAAAACACCCCGGGTTTTCTCCTGTTCAGTGTTTTCTGCTTTGCACACATTTAAAGCGATCGGGGAAACGCACGCACACACACACACAAGAGCCCGAGTGACCGTCGGCCTGATGTCCATCCACCGAACAGGCTTTAATCAAACTTTAACACATGCACAGATCCATCAGGAAACGCGCCTATTCCAACAGAAACGCATTCCGGTGCGGAATAACCGGCGATTTCCACCCAAATCCCGTTCGTGTGTGAAGCTTTTCCCGTGCAAGAGCGAGAATGGCTGGACAGGGTTCGATTCTGACATGCACGGAACTGAACTGAGTCCAAAATGGCTTCGGAGAGCGAAACGCAGCCAGCAGGGAAACCAATTTTCCCGTTCTACTAAGGCGAAGACTCGGCTCATGAATATTAACTACGCAACGTGACGCTAGCGCGGCAGCGCGCTCTGATTGGCCTGGCTCATGAATATTAAATAACTTACGTGACTGGACGATCCCGAAAGCTTATCGAGGAACGTCAGCACAGCCTAATTAATATTCAGCAGGCGTGGCCTCGCCGTAGTAGGATTGGGAATTTCGTAGCAGGGAAACCCGGATGTTGAAACACAAAGAGAGAAATGCAAAGCCTTTGAGTCCATATGTTTAGAGACTACACAATTTACACAAATACACACACTGTTTTAAAGCCAACACTGCGGTATTTTGGTGCAAATATGAATAGGAAAGTACTAAAACAGGTTTTATTTTCGTTATTATACGTGTTATTTGTTATTGCTTTGATTTGGAGGTGAACCTCATTGATTGATTCACCTGAATATTAGTTATTGAGATGAAACTCGTAAGATTAAATGTCGTTTGGTATATATATATATATAATTCTATACTAAATATTGTAGAAACCTAATTTGCTGTAAAATATAAATAAAGCAGCTAAATCTGCAGATATTATGTTACTTTTATGGAGAAGTAAGATAATATTTCAAGATAATAATCTCAAAATTAAACTTTACAAGAGTATGAAATAACAAGCAAACTTTTCCAATTATCTATCAGACAAGCAAATGGAGTTTTAAACTTAAATTAAATCTCTAAATCAAAATAAAATAGCTGTGCTGTTTATCACAGATTGTACTGTTTTTAAAATAAAACACACTTCTAAATGTGTAGATATACACTCAACTTTCACATACTGTAAGTTTTAATGTCAAGCGAAGAGCAACAGCAAAACAAAACCTCACTGACAGTAAAGCTGTCTAATATCTGA